TTGGTTCTAGGTACACACTCTCAGCACTCTAAAAATATAGGCATCTCTGTATCTAATAAAAAGAGTCCTGTTGAAAGAAAAATTCATTCATTTTATCTAATTTCACAATGTTTTAAACATCTAATACCAATAAAATTTCAATGAAACCTGAAATTTTTAAAATGTAGCAAAAAAATCACCCTACAAATGATCAGATATTACTCAATTTGAACAACATACCAAACTATCTTTGCAAGAGCTAATGAAGCCATGTAAGAGACCATAGTGCCTCATAAAATATTAAGAAAAAATTTATTGCAGAAGGCAGGAAGGAAAGAGTTGCCCACATCACCCCTCTACCATCTCCAAGCAATGAGAAATCTCCCACTTGAAGGATAGAGAAGGAATTAAGTCCAGGTCTCAGACTGGAAACCTACTACCAGACCTGCAATGATGAAACCTAATGCTGGGCATGGCCCCATAAATCAGGACCCAGACCAGCATCCACAGACTGAGCCTTTGGAACCATGTTAGCTAAGGAACCAAAGGATTGCTTATACCATCTCTCCCCCAACCTCAGGTAGTATAGCAGGGAACAAGACTATACCTGCTGGGAAGCAAGGTACAAAAGTTAACATAAGATTTTTGCCTTGAAGCCCAGGGTCAGGTCAACCACAGTGAGACCAAGGCCCAGTAAAAAGCAAAGGTCCTAACTATACCCAGATCATGTTACAGACAGAGCCTCTAGACCTATCCCTGCAATAAGCAAAGACTTGTTCCTCGTGGGATAGACATGAGTCTATGGTTTGCATCACTGCCAGCAGCAGTATAGGCCTAGGTATATCTGAGACTGTACAGGTACTTGCACCTATGAGAATCAGGTGCATCCCAACTTTCCCTTATCCTGAGTGGCTAAAGGACTGCCTTCACTAACACTACCTCAACCTTAGGAACAATATCCTATCCACTAAAGATTAGATATGGGACTAAGCAAAGGATTTTGCTCTGGAAGTAAGTATCAGGCTGGTGAAACCTAACATCAGGCAGACTCTAACAGATCCATCCCCAGGCCAGTGCCAAGAATGGAGCCTCTAGAATAGCTCCAATAGCAGGGTGATAAATAGCACCAGTCTATCAGACTTCTATTCTAGTCAATATCACCTGTTACTGGTTGATATGATCTTGGGTCAATAGTTCACCTCAGAAGTGGGCAGCTCACAGTACTATGAGTCCCACTTTGGTGTTGCACTGGTCTTGGTGGGCTGGGCTCAGGGCATGATACAGCATTGTGGCATTTCTGGCTAGAGAACTGTCCACCATTTCTCCCACAGACACAAGCAGCACAACACAGAGAGAATAGGTGTCTGCTTAGGGGAGGAAACCAAAGAGGAGCACTATCATGACATAAGAGCCTGGAGTTAATCCCTCCATAGTGCCTGACTAGAGGCTAATGACTGTAGACAAAATCTCTGGACCTCCCCCAGCCCCTGGGAGAGGCTTTTAGGGACAAAGTCCCCCAGTTCATGTTGAACACAACAGCATGGATTTGGAACAAAATTGGGCTTAAATCACCCTCTAGTGCTGAAAAAGTGACAGCATGCCAAAAACAGGCTCATGGCAAATCTAGACAGGGCATATCTAGTGACAAAACAGCAGAAGTGACAACAGGCCCAGAGAAAATAAGCACCCTGTTTAGAATTGCTGAAAATATAGGCACAAAGATTTCAAAGACTGCAATAAATACCTAATCTTTCCATGCAAAGATGATGTCACATATCAAGAAATATCAAAAACTTTCAGGACCCATGGCCTTACCTAACAGCCAAAATATTATGCCATACACCAAGAATATGAGTGAATTCTTGAATGGAGAATTTTAAACACTTATTTAAAGTAAAGGAACAATAATAAAACTAGAAATCAAGAAAACATAAATAAATGATTTAATACTCCTACAGAGAAACTTAACAATGAAATGGAATCAGTTTAAAATAAACAAATTACTGAACTGAAAAATACACTAAGCAAGTTTAAAAACACAATAAAAGGCATCAATAGCAGAAGACAACAGAAGAAAAAACGTGGGAGATCAAACACAGTGTATTTGAAAATACAGAGAGGAGTAAAAAGAAAAAAAAAAGAACGAAAGGGAATAAAAAAGCTTAAGGGAATTGGGAGACAGGATTAAAAGAATAAATATTCAGGTCACTGGGGTTCAAAAGGAACTTGAGACTGCCAAAGGTCAGTCTTTGAATAAGGAAGTCTATTCAAAGAGATAATAACAGAATACTTCCCCAACCTAGAAAAAGATACAAATGTTCAGAGCAGAAAAGGTCAAAGGTTGCCAGTCAGATTAAATTCAATCAGGTCTACCCCAAGATATATTATAATCAAGCTCTCAAAAGTTAAAGAAAAGTTTCTTAAGGCAAGGGGGAAAAAAAGGAACAAGACATAAGAGTGTTCCAGTTCACCTGGTACCAGACTTCTTGGTAAAAACTTTATAGGACAGGAGAGAAGGCAGAAGATTTTTACAGTACTGAATAGAGAAATTACCAACCAAGAAGATTTAAAAAAAAAAATCTGAGATCATATATCTCCACCAGACCTGTCCTAGAGGAAATATGACAGGAGTTCTTTAAACTGAAAGAAACAGAAATTAATGAGTAAGAAGAAAACATCAGAAGGTATAAAACTCACTGGTAAGAGTTACTATACAGACAAAATCAGAATATTCTACTATTGTCCACATAGTGCATAGATTATTCATGTCTTTAGTTGACTATAAAACAAAACMATTAAAATAATAACTACATTAATAATATGCTAAGAGAGACAATATAGAAAAATGTAAAATGGAACATCAAAAATTCAAAATGTAGGCAGAAAGTAATCAAAGTATAGAATTTTCTAGTAAAACATTTTCATTTTCTTTTGTTTCTTATCTTCATGATCATGATATATTGATATATTTCAAAACAACTTGTAATATTCAAAAGATGTTTTTGTAAGCCTAAAATGAAACAAAACAAAAAACTATAAAAGACAAACCAAAATAATAATAAGAAGAAGAAGCAAGGAATCAAAACACTCTACTAAACTAAATCAATTAACCACAAAGGAAGATTATAAGAAAGGAAAGAGTGCACACTGTACATGTATGGAAATATCACACTGACCCCCATTAAAGGTTAGTATAAAAAAGAGTGCTATTGTACATCATGACTATAGTTAATAATAATGTATATTTGAAAACTGCTAAAAGTCTTCTCATAACCAAAAAAAATAGGTATAGGAGGTAATAATACACGTCAAATAACTTGATTTACCTTATTCCACAAAGTGTATATGTCAAAACATCATATTACCCACCATAAATAAAACACACCATTTTCATTTGTCAATTTAAATAAACCGGGAAGAAGGAAGAGGAGAAGGAGGAGGAGGGTGGGAGGAGGAGGGGGAGGAGGAGGGGGAGGAGGAGGGGGAGGAGGAGGCGGTGGTGGCGGCTCCAGGAGGAGGAGGAGGGAAGAGAGGAGGGAAAAGGAACAATAATAAAACTAGGAATCAAGTTACCAAATGACTTTAATAAGACCTGACCTCTCAACAATTATCAAAAACGTAAATGGATTAACTTATTCAAAAGTCAGAGACTAAATGGACTTAAAACACAAGATCCAACTATATGCTGCTTATAAGAAACTTACTTTGTATTATTTATAATGTTCAGAAGTGGCAGACACATTTCTGTGTGAACTAAGTAAAAAGTCATGCATTTGTGGGAACACTAGTCTAAATTATACTTATGGAATGATTCTAAACTTCAAATAGAAATACTTGGAATACAAAACAGCTTTTAAAAAGAATATTTAAAACAGCTTTTTTAAAAAGTTAAAGACTACCTGGTTTGAAGATAATATAACTCTATAGTAATCAAAACAATGTGGTTTTAGAATACAGATTGATCAGCGAAATGGAATGGAAAATCTACATACAGACCCACTCAAATGTTAACGATTTTGACAAAGAAAAAAAGCAATTCCGTAGAGAAAAGATTTTATCTTTTCAACAAATGGTATTGAAACAACTGAATATCCATGTTAAAAAAAAAAGACATTTAAGTCTTCCTGTTTGACCACACACAAGGTTAACCAAAATTGAATAATAGATCTAAATGTAAAAATCTAAAATTATAAAGCTTCTAGGAAAAATATAAGAAAATATTGTTTTCTCTTTATTTAAACTAAAGTTATAAAGCTTCTTGAAGGACTTAGAATAGAACACCTTCCACATTTTAGGGTAGGTAAGGATTCCTTAGACAAGACACACAAACCACTAATGATAATAATAACAAATTAGACATCATCCAAATAAAACTTTTTTTCATTGAAAATTTGTTAAACTGTTTAAGTTATACTTCAAGAAATTTCAAGAGGAAATATTTACAATACATATAGCTTGAAAGGGAATATCAACCACTCTTGTAATTCAGGAATTTAAGTGCAAAAAAATAAATGGTATAGACTCTTCACAAAGAAAATATGTGAATGGTTAAAAAATACAAGAAGAAATGTCCTATGCCATTATTCAAGAAATACGAATCAAGACTTCAGCATGATACTTCAAAGCATCTTGAAAGACTAGAATTTTAAAAAAGTATTTATTTCACTTCTTTATCTGGGAAATCTATCTGATAGCACTCCCACATCAAACATAAGATTGTCTAAACCTATCATAGCTCAAGTCCTGAATATCATAATTAGTATTTATGTAAAATATTAACATTTATAATATGTTCCATTTTTTTATTTCTGTTTGGAATGAGGATTAAGAATAATATATTCGGGCTAGCACTGTAGCTCAGTGGTAGAGGTCTTGTCTTGCACATGTGAGTCACTGGTTTCGATTCTCAGCACCACGTAAAATAAATAAATAAAATAAAGGTATTGTTTCCATTTTACAACTTAAAAAAATATTTTAAAAAAGAAAAATAAATTCACCTAAAGATTAAACAAAATGTTTACCTGTCTGAAGCTATGTCACTGGCAATTTGGTGCTTCATTCCTGACCCATTTTTAATAGAATCCTGTCTTGTGAGCCCATGAGATCGACTTTTCTCCACTGCAGGTACAGATAAGTCACCTGGGGGTCCTTGAAATTGGGCCTGCTCACGCAGTTTTGCTTTCTTCTCCTGAGGCGCCTCCTCATTTCGCAGTCCTCGAAGAACTTTTTGATCAGATTGCTGTGGTATATTAGATCCACTGTTATAAAACCATGCTCCTGATTTAGTGAGGATTTCCTGTTGTTTTCGGCACAAATTACATACCCACATAACCTGTATGTGAAGACACAGGGAAAAATAATTAATGTTCCCAAAAGTAAAAAAACAAAAAGAGAGACAGCAATTTGAGCCAACAAAAAATTTTATGGTTGTCTATCTAAAGTTAAAATGCAATCAGATTAACTGCTACTATAAATTAAATAATTTATCCTTTCTTTCAATTTTGCCAGGATAATTATAATAAAATAGACAATACTTATTGACAGTACAAATACCAAAGTATAAAGCATCAAATTACTAGTTTATTTTTTATGTAATGASAGGCATGATGTAATATATAGAAAAAGGATTTTGAAGCTAGATAGTTGAGTTTAAATACCAGATCCAAGATTAGAAACTTTGCAACCTTCAGCAAGGTACTAAACCATCATATCTACAGAATTTAGCTTCTTTAACAATAAAATAAAAAGGAAAGGATATGATAAAAAATACTTATCTTCCCATATTTTATTGATAATTAGAAATAATTTATATGAAATGTCTTGTACAATACCTGTTATATAATACACTTCCAGTAAATTAGCTGTCAATATTAATCTATCACCAATTATATTATATGCTCCTTGATGCTTCCAGTAATTTACTGGAAGCTAATTTTACTTCTTTTAAGTAGCTCCTAATGGTTAAAATAAAGCTAAGAACATTGTTCGGCTCAAAAAAAAAAAAACGTAYTAATTACTCATTATTTGTAGTAGTACATTTTTTAATATGGTAAAAAAGAACAAAAAATTTACCATCTTAATCATTTTTAAGTGTACACTTCACTAATGTTATATATAATTACACAGTTGCAAAATAAATCTCTGACACTTTCCTTCAAAAACTGAAACTCTACACACATTAAACAACAATGTCCCTTTCCCTAAGTCCCCTGACCCTGGTAATGGCTATTTTATATTTGATTTTTTTTTATTGTTGGTTGTTCAAAACATTACATAGTTCTTGGTATATCATATTTCACATTTTGATTCAAGCGGGTTATGAACTCCCATTTTACCCCGTATACAGCTTGCAGAATCACATCAGTTACACTTCATTACTTTACATATTGATATACTCA